TACTTTGAAAGTTGTTGAAATACCTTTCACAAAGGAAGTAGAAATGGTTCCTTTACCCATTCAAAGCAAAACCAGAAACCATTGTAGAAAAGTGGGGATCCCCACAGTGCTGTAAATGGGGTTAAGAAAATGCAAAATAAGAAACAAGTTGTATATGAAAACAAATGCTTGAAACTACCATTCAACCCATTCCACATTTTTTAAAATGAATTACAATAGATTTATTGGCTTCCATTGACAAACACATTAAATAATGAGTGCATAACATGGTCACCACCTGCCACAGTAGAAGCCCAACCCTAAGCTGTTAACACAATATAAGTGCCCTCAAATAATTGGCTTTAATGTGTATCATGTGACACAGAAATGGATAATCAATTGCAGCTGCAGCACATAAAATGGTAATGAAAGCCTCACAAAACGATGTATCCCCCTAAGTAAGTAGTTTAATTCCAACTTGTGCATTTAAAGCAGCTTCACAGAATGAATGGGACAATGTTCTTTAGTGAAAGTATAAGGCAGATGTTATCTTTTATCTCCCTTCTGTGCCAGGAAGTGCACACACATGACATCCCTAATTTCTGATGCCTGCTTGGACCCAGGACCGGTACATCTGTGTGGAGGACCAAGCAGTCTGTACATTTTGCTAGACAAGTATGTCCTGAAACCACTTGGGATAAAAATACTTTGCTTTACCCTCACAAATGTGGTTCAGTGTGCATCAGGCACCAATCATACAAGTGGCATTTGACACAATGGAATCCAGACAGGTTTGTACGTTACATGACCAATCAGCAGAGTATAGATTGAAGCTGAATTCCCCTTTTCTAGGGCCATTGATGTCATAGTATGGTTTTATGAGCCAAAACAAGAGCAGATCTATGGGGAGACAGGGGAAAAGAGGGCTGGAGTGGGCCAGACATGCTATAAAGAACATTTATTTTTTTCAGGAAAATAAATTCCTCTCTTTGCTCATCAAGTACAGTACACTTCTGATTTCATCCACAACCTGGCATTATGAACCTGGTCTCTGTTTCACATTATTGACCTGTGACCCTGACATGATCTTGGAAGTTTTAGCTTTTGGATTAAAACGTAATCCATAGGCTAAGAAATGCTGAAACTGCATTAGCAGATTGCAATATACATTATTAAAGCTTTAATGCAAGTAAGAAAGCAAAATCAACACGTATATATTAGGAAATATAGAAAACCAAGACAAATGAACAGTTCATGTTAAGTTAACAGAAGCTTTTGCCCTAAAGTCATGAAATTTAGCAATCTGTGCTTTGTGGTAAAAATGTAAAACACACACAAACCAGTAAACCACAAAAGAATAAAGTGAGACTTAAAATAGGAGCTTTTTGCAATAAGGTAACCTCATTTCAATTTCAAAATTATTAGCAAATTAATTGCTCAAATGGGGTATTAGCTATCAGCTAGCGAGTTATGATTAGGTGGAATACCCTGGCCCCAGAATACCACATATAATAAAAAAATGGACCAGGACACATGTTTGGTAACCAAAAGGTACATACAATATGTGTATATGGTGTGGAAATCCATCAACATGACAAAAACTCGTACAGATCCAAACTGACATCATCTTCCTTTCCAAGTGCAAACAAATGGACATCATACCTAAGGATGAAAACCCCACTGCAATCTACCTATCCCATGGATTACAGCCAGAGATTATGCCACACACTCGCAAAAAAAAAAAACACCACACCAACCCTGTGGAACCATCTTATCAGCATTCTATACAACAAACAGAAATAAAAATCAAGGAGGAGCTCTTAACATTAGAAACTACCATAAAAAAACCAAACCTCCACACACACTTAATCTTTTACAGACTTTACTACAATTCAGCAAACCACCTACAAAGAACACTTCATCTCCCTTCAGAAGAAAAAGGACAATAAACTATCCAAAGTGCTACATGCCTCAGGTTCTTTCATTCCAGATACTTTCAACTCACCCAATTGTCAACCTATCTAACCACTCTCTTAGTCCAGCAAAGAAATGTGTCCTATCAGTTCTTTGGAGATCTGGAATCCTATTTTCGCTGCCTCCACCTAAAGGAATACTTCCAACACACCGATGTATAACACACTGACCTTGCTGATCCCTCCCACCTCTGCCAATCCCACAAGAGGAAGGCTTTTATGTGGACCCCCACTAACGGTCATAACAAGAGTCTGGATTCTACATAGATTGCTTCCGCAAATGTGCTCGAGCTGACATTCTCAGCAAACATCAACATATAACATGAGTCATTATGATGATAGGATTGGTTTTGAGGCTGTGTATAGCATTGCGTTCCCCATAGAATGCAATGCTATACACTGCCTCAAAAATAATCCTATCATCATAATCAAAGAGGCTGACAAAGAAGGCTCTGTAGTCATCATGAACAGGACAGATTATAAACAGGAGGCAAACAGACAACTCACCAATACCAGATTCTACAAGCCTCTGTCCTGTGATCCTTCTAAAGAATACCTAAAAAACCTGAAAAAACTGCCCATGTAGTTCTCTGATGTTGCTCAGGAACAAATTTATATTAACACCCTCCTCTCCCCTTCCCTCCTCCCGTATTCCCTGACCAGGAGCTTTCTATCTGCTACCCAAGATACACAAACCTGGAAATCCCAAACGGCCCATCATCTCAAACACAACAGGATTATCTGGCTATATTGACTCCCTCCTCATATCCTATGCTACCAGTACTCCTAGCTACCTCCATGACAACACTGACTTCCAGAGGAAACTTCAAAACATCAGTAATCTACCTGCAAATACCATCCTAGCCACTATAGACATAGAAGCCCTTTACATCAACATTCTACATGAAGACAGATTACAGGCCATCAGAAACACCATCTCCAATGCATAGGTGTGCGAGGCACATTTCATTAGGGTGTGCATCCAAAAAGTTTTTAAAAATATACTCTGACACCCATTAGCCAAACCCCTGACCCATTAACCACACCCCTGACCCCCATTAGCCGCACCTCCTGACTCCCATTAGCCACACCTATGGAGGTAACACTCTCGGGGCAAGATGGGCACATGATCAGAAGTAAAAGGTGTCATGTGACCCCCCTCTAAGGACTTTTCCCATCATCCTCCTACCATTAGGGATTAGTTTGGCCCCCACCAAACTCCCTTCATGCAACTACCCTGCAGTTGCATTAACGCAATGTGTGTGACATTAACTCGGAGGCAGAGAGGCTGGGGGAAGTGTTCCCTCTAAGAGTTTCCTCCCATGGTCAGAATGAATTTTGTGTTGTGTACTAGTACTGAGTTCATGTTGCTTGTTTGGATGTGCCACTGTGGCACCTAAGTTATTAATAAATATCTTATAATCCTCTACATTTTCCCTCTGCTGCCATGTCTCCTCCCCTTGCTCCATCAGCTCCTCCTCTGCTGTCCTGACTCCTGCCCTTCTCACTTCCCTCAGCCGTCCTGCGATCTGCCCCCCTCCACCAGCCCTTCTCTCCCCCCTGTGCCCACTCCTCAAGTAGCCCTACTCTGATCATATGAGCTACCCCTCTTCATCCCCTCTCCTAACACCTCCCTCTACACACCTGCCCTGCCTCTCTCCTCTGGTGCTGGTCCCTCCCCTGCAGATGTCTGTCCTTCTGCTTCACCCCCAGAATCCCCGGCACCTGCACCTGCCCTTATCTCTGCACCCTCCTGGTGCCTCTTCCTTCCCTTACTGCCCCTGCCCCCTTTGCCCTCTTGTTCCCTGATACCCACCCCCTCACCATCCTCTGCCCCCATTCCTCTCATGCCCCTGTGCCCTCACACGTCTTGCTCCATCCCCGCCTTCCTCATGCCCCCCCCTTCTTTCAAGACGTCTCCCAGCACCTCCCTCTCCCCCTCTAGCTCCCAATGCCCTTTCCCTCTCCTCTCCCAGCATCACTCTGTCCCCTCTCCCACTGACACCTCTCCTCCTGCCCTTTTCCTCATTGTCTCCACTTGGCCCCCTGGCATTTGTCTCTCCTCCACCCTGTCCCTTCGTGCCTTCCCCTTTCTTCTCCTGACCTGCCCCCTCCCTTCCTTCAGCACAAGCCCCTTCCTCTCCCACCCCTTCCACAGAGTGTAAAAACACATTTGATAGGTTACACTCTGTATTTTGTTGAATGCATCTTTGAGTTATGCCTAGTTATAATTCCTATACCAATGTGCATGAAGTATGGCAGGGGACCGTCCCAACAGGAGCCCTTGGGGAGGGGAGCTGTTCACTCCGGCTGCAGGGTCTGAAGCTGTGGGAAGCAGCCGGTCTAGGGTCGCGCTCCAGATCTTCTCCCACCTGCCTGTGCTCAGTTCAGCTCAGCTCAGCCCAGCTGTGGAGTGGGGAGAGGGAGAGAGCACAGCCAGTCTCCACCCCTCCTGACTCTCCTACTCTTCCGCCCTCCCCCTTCTGCCTTCCCGCCCAGATTTTAAACTCCCCACACTTGACGGGGCAGCAGGGTGACGTTGCTGCTTCCCTGCCACCTCTTTCCATGGGGTCCTAAGCCCCGCTGGTTCTGACTGCGCAACCGTGCATGCACGGCAAACCCAGCGCGGTACCAGTTCCCCAGAGCACCGAAGCGGTGCTCCTTCTAGTGCGGGGGCTCGTGTCTCCATCATATGGCCCTTTGAGACATATGGGTGTGCCTGGACACACCCAGCACACCCCGTGCGCACACCTATGCTCCAATGACAACACTGCACATCTAGTTACAGAGCTCTGTGACTTTATCCTAACCCACAACTACTTCCAATTTGGAGACATTTTGTGTCTCCCAGTCAGTCTCACAGCCTTGGGCACCCACATGGCACCACAATATGCCAACATCTTTATGGCTTACTTTGAACAACATTTCCTCAGCTCTCGCCCCCATCACCATTACTTTTTTTACGCTACATTGATGACTTATTAGTCTTCAAAGTGCTACCAAACTATTTGGGTTTTTTTAAGTTTATAAAAGATGTGGTTAACCAACCTTTATTTGGGTAACTTGGGGTCTTCATGGTTGTATAAACTGGGTCACCTTATCTCAGTTATGATATACTCCTTGTGCCGTAGTCTTCTAGCTTTGTTTTCCACCAATCAAAGGAGTATGGGTATGATAACACTGAAAGTTGTTCTCTTATTCACATCATTCCATATTTCCAAGACCATGTGATCTCTCCACATCCCACAGTTCTTCTGCACCTGAAGCAATGGTGAATCAAAAGATATAATACGGGAAGGTTTTTAACATATCTGTCCATTGTGAAATACATGAATTCTCATTGTGCTTCTGGGACTTCTGTTTTTAATGAGTCAGAAAATGCAGACAAAATGTCCAGTGCCTTTCACAGCACCTATTCCAATGCATAAAAAGTGGTAAATCTTTTCAACCCATTTTTCAGAGGACCAAGACAGGAGGCTACATGATCTTCAAGTGCCTTCAGCAAATAGTGTACAACGTTTTTCCTAAATCATCTCCCTGTGAGAAAAGAACCCCTGCACACCACCCATGAAATTGTAGCTCTAACCTCAAGTACCTAGAGTGACTGCATAGGCAGTGTATGACTCTTGCATTTAGAGAGGCAGTGCATAAGCATCAGAAGCTCCTGAGAAGTGAGATGGTCACTGGTGCCCAGACCCCAAGCCACCCTGATGCAATATTCCCACTCATCTCCTCCCATAAGGCCCTGCGCCCAAGCTCCATCCCTGCTCCTGCCTGAAGCCCCTTGCCCACTTGGCCACTTCTCCTAGACTCTGCCACTGCTCTAACTCTTCCCAACCATCCACTGAGCCCTAACCCTCTCCACCTGCAGCTCACACCTTTTCATCCCTCCCATAGTTCACCCCCTAAGCCCATAGCTGGGCCAGCCAGGGAGAAGCAGAACTGCTTTTAAAATGATGAGGCCATGTGGCCACTTGCTTCCCCCGCCTGCCTCTGGAAGGTGGGGGAGTCTCAGAAGAGAGACTGGTGTGGAGTGGCGAGTGTGAGCAGCAGGAAGTCGAGGAGACTCAGGAAAAGAGGCACAATGAAGGCAGGACCACTGGGGAAAAAGTGATGAAATAAGGTGGCACTCTCTTCTTGGAAGTGTCCTCTTCTGGCCACGTGTGTGCGCCTGCATCCTCTCTTATTCAAAGGCCTCTTCAGCAACTTAGACCTCTGGCAATGTCTCATACCCTGTGTACTACCAAACAAACCCCTTCTGGAGTACACTTTTAACAGAGAACATCTTGGTGTCCTCTCCATAGTTTTTCCGAACTGATCCCCCAGGGCTTAACCTCCTGGAGGCAACGTCCTTGCCTTTACCCCTGGGCTTTCTCTCAGAGTCCCAACATAGCCCCACAGTCTCCAAAAAGCTCTCCACATGGAACTTTTCTCTCTTTCTCTCTCTCTCAGCTCCTTTGTTAGGGCCTTCCTGTTCCCTGATTGGCCGCTTCTCCTGTATCCGTTCTAGACTTCTTGGAGGACCTCTCTATTGTCCTTTTTCTGGGGTGGGATCTGATAAGACCACAGGGGGTCTCAGAGCCTGGGCCATCCCCTCATGGGTGGATAGGGGGGGGAGTAATGCTGAGTGGGAGCAGGGCCTCAAGATGGAGTCCTCACCTTGGTATCTCCCCCTTCTCGAAAGCCTCTAGGGGCAGTGCTCCAAAGACAGCATGCCAAAGGGAGGTGCATCATATCTAGCCCTATTTGGGAGGCTTAAATACCCCAAGATATCCCCCATCTAGCAGTGGAAGTATAGATGGGTGTATATGTATTTACAGCATTATATCTGTGTTTAGCACAGGTATAGGGAGCATGCACAAACATGAAACAATCCAATAGTCAGGTACACACACCAGTATAGACATAGCCATGCATGCACAAATACCTATAAATGGAGACCTTCCAATAGTTATGGACTCACGCCCAGTTGTCAAAGTACAACATCAGGGAGATAATTGGGTATGGAGTAAAGAGTAACACCTTATTTTATACTACATATATTTATGTGGCATAGGAGATCATACAACATTTGTAGATTAGACTCTGTGGGTTTATTGACTGAGGCCTAAAATGTCATCAGCTTCCAAGGCTGCAATTAATCAGACACTTTTAGGCACTTGTGAGTTCTTAGAAAGACCACCAAAGCACCAAGATGAAAACAGAGAAACCACCTGGCACTTATTATAAAATCTCAATACAACACTACTGTAATAGTGTTTCATAATTCATGAAGGAACACAATCCCCTGCTGAGCACTATAACCAGTCAAGATAACAGCAAGAACAGTTGGTAAATCTGTTAGTGTGATTTCCTTCTTCTCAAGTGTAAAGAGAGTAAAATACAAAACAGCTGGAATGTATATTCAATATATGATTGATATGGTGTCATGAGAAAAATGTCAAGTAAGCTAATGGTAAAATGGAAGCTTTACTTAACTTGTCTCAATTACAGGAAGTTTGGGGTATGGATGGGAATAGTAAATAAGTAAAGCTAAATTTAACTCTGCTTATATATGTAAGATTTTGTAGACACAGAAGGAAGGAAGGATAATTAATGCTACACAAAGAAATTTGTGTTTTGGCTCCTGACTATGCCACAGACTTCATCGGTAAACTTGGGCAAATCACTGCACCTGACTGTGGTTCCATTCACCATATATAAAATGGTGATAACATTTCCTTCTCACACTATTATGTTTATTTATAGTTTATATCAAGGTCACACCTCGGAACCCCAGTCTTTGACGAAGGCCCATTGTGTTAGGCACAGTACAAACACAGGAAAAAAACAGCTGACATTTTAAATTGGAAATTCATCAGGGAAAGAACTCTTACTACGTGTATGTACTGTGTCTAGCACAGCTGGGACCAGTGAACTTGGTGCACAAACTGGAGCTGACAAAGGGGGGTGGCAAAAGGGATATCTGCTCTGGGGCCTAGTGATTCTAAAGGGCATTATTGAGGCAGAAGTGGCACCCTACATCACTGCTGGAGCATCCTGCAGCATTCTCCAAGTGGCTCTAAAGTTTTTGGGGGGCAGCATGATGAACTCCCAGTGGCTCTGATGGCTGGCTGTCCCAGCTCTGCTCCCTTCCATCCAAGGCCCTGTCCCTTCTGGGAACATGAAGCCAGGCCCTCCAACCTGCTCAAGGACTGGCATGACTGTTGGATCTCCTATATTAAACATTGTTGTAATAAAGCTAAACAATTATATACCTGAAGAATAAAGACAAAACCCTATAAATGCAAAAATCCATAGTGAATAAGGCACACGTGCTCTCACTTTCATGTGTGTCACAGAAGTAAGAGTTTGAGTTTATATTTCTTTGTACTCTCTAGGATTTATTGTCTGTGAAAGGAAATGTTACTACACCGAGGGGAGGAAACTACATTTGTCCTCCCTGACTTTTCCATGTTTCCATTGAACACACAGGCATTGTTTGAGGACGTACATTTCCCTCTGGTCCTCCTACCTTCTGACTCACCATTTTCCACACAGCAGCACTCACAAGTAACCGTAAAGAGACTTCCATCACATTAATCCCTGTGAAAAGTTGGAAGTAACACTGCTTCTGTAATGCTTTTACTTTTCAGTTCTGTCCACGCTAAGAAATCAGAAGAAATATTATCCTGTATATCAAGAAATGTCTGACACTTGTGTACAATTACCATAGCAGCTTATCAAAGTCTTTTTAATATTTTTAAAGGAAATCAGGAATTTTTTTTGAACTACACATTTCTGTACATCTCAATAGCAGAAAAATGTTGCTAAATGGTAGGTAATTCAGGAAAGATCATCAACATTAATTAACAGCCTGTAGGGGCAGATTTGTAGAGATTAAATAATTAAATATGTATAGCTTTGTTAAATCAAAATCCAAAAGGGGAGGATGCAAGACCGAATCAGACATTTATAAATATTTCATGTTGCTAAAGTTATCCATTAAAAAGTCAATATTTGCACTCCATTAAAGTGTTCATTGCAAAGTCATGATGTTTCTCTATCCTTAAAACAGGATACACGTAGTATTTAAGATATAGCTGTATGGAAACAGTTTGGTGAAAATTTTTTTTATATATTTTATAACACACACTGATATCTATAGCCAACCATGAATTTATTGTCTGAATACTAGAAGGTTGATCTTTTCTAAATATCCATCACTGATATACCAATATTCTTAAGCAAAAAACAAAAACAAAACACCAAAAAACCAACCAACCCACCCACCCCCTGCCAAGAACTGTTTGAAAACCAGTCAATTTTTGCTCTTGCACAAAAAGGAATGTGTGGACAGGCAACAGGGGTTTCCTGTGCAAGAAACCCCTATGGCTAAAATGGCCATCATAGCTTTCTTATGCAAGAGAGCATTCACACTGGATGCTCTCATGAAAAAGCACATCTCTTACACAAAAGCACGTGGCCATGTGGAGTGCTCTTGCACAAGAACTTTTTGCACAAACTCTTGTGCAAAAAGTTCTTGCTCAAGAAGCCTGACATGTAGATGTAGCCTTCCACATGTCCTGGTCCCCTACATATACTTAACCACTATAGGAATTCTCTTGCATAAAAGTGAAAAACCCTGATTTGGCATATCAATATGAAAACAAACCCTTTTTCCCCCCAGTTCTCACAAATCTTTCACTCAGAGGTTCTTTTAAAACATTCAGGCCATTACTTAGCTTACTACTTCCCCCAGAAAGGATGGATTACAATTGAACCTGATGATTTCAGCTAAAGAAAACTGCTTTAATTGGTACCAATAGGGTTTTTTTTTTTTTTTTTAACAAAATGGCTTCACTCTCAGTTCATAAAATTATGTTTAGGGGAAAACACGTATATACTATATATTAGCAAATATAGTGTTACTAATGCATTACAATATTAAACATTAGATAAATATTGTGGCATAAAATGGTGTTCTCTCTCTAATATTGTTGATAATATAATACATGAATATATAAAAACAAATTTCAGCTTGCTCTTTTATTTGGCACATTATTTCTGGAAGAGAGCTCATGTTTTGAATAAAAACATGCATCTTAGTTTTAGGTTCTCTGGTATAGTCTCCAGATTTGGCTGCCTCATTTTTTCAGATATACAAAATAAATTTCCATTTCCTTGAAACTTTAAAAAGAAATCAAATATTATTACATCTACTTAGAGTAAAATACCGTTGACTTAAACTGTCAAAATACAGTCCTTATACTTGATACCC